AAATAAAATACATTTTAATAAAAACCTTTCTGAGGACCTTCTGCTGCAGAACAACCCGATTTGAGATCTTAAGGTTTTGATGTTTGTTGTTTACGAAGGAAACCCCCTGCTGCTGCCAAACCACTCTGTTTCCCAGAAACTAATACATAGCACCCAGAAACATACATTGCTTCTGTTGTAAAAACTACTACAAGTGAAACGGGTAGAAGTCAAACTGCACTAGAGGCTGCATGCTCCATAGGTGATTCACAGCGTGGATGTGTCACTGGGTTACACAGGCAGGCAGTCAGACCGACAGACGAGGGAACAAAATGCAGAAAAAAAGACAATGAGTAGCAGGAGAAAGAAGGCGAGTGAGCCAAGGACATTCTCGACTTAGGGAATTCCACTGAGACATTTTCAAAGCAGTTCTTCTTAACAGAGCATACATTTATATCAAGCTTGTCTGACCAAACAAAAAATGCTGTGTCATTGCAGAAATATTTGTCTTCTTATCTTTGTGTACTTTTCTCCCTATATGATATTCTCTTTGTCATACTTTATAAGGCAATTCAGTTTCTATCATTTCAATCTTATAAACTGCCTGACTTATTACTCATTTATCTTACACAATATTTTATACACAATGCACAATATATTAGGGCAGGCTCTCTGATGTAAGTAATGGGAAACCTTCAATAGACTCTGGTTGGCAAGAAAATAAATTACCTCAAATCCATCAGGAAACATTTGATCAATTGTCCATGAGTGAGTTTGACCTTCAACATGAATTGCATCAATGATTGGCCAGCTTTACAAAAATCCAAAATTACAAAAGCCATTAGTCACATGAATGTATTCTCAAGCATATATATCTGACGTGAAACCGTTAGTCATAAATGATGTGCTGAGTATTTGAGGTCACGATTCAATTCAAGATGCATTCATTCAGACACCCCAGACACCCCAGAGAGTTAGATAATACTTTAGTATATTATATACCTGATTATTTATCAACAATTGCCCTTGTATTACTAAAAGATATTTCATTGATTATTTTGTTATGTTATGTCTTTAAAATTGTATTTTCTTCAATTTGATAAATTAGCCAAGTTGTTACAGAGTTCAGTTCAGAAATATTGTAGCTCGAAACCTCAGGGAAATGTGTGTGTGTCTGTGTGTGTGTCTCTGTGTGCGTGTGTGTGTGTGTGTGTGTGTGTGTGTGTGTGTGTGTGTGTGTGTGTGTGTGTGTGTGTGTGTGTGTGTGTGTGATGTGTGTCTGTGTGTGTGTACAGTATGTGTGTGTGTGTCTGTGTGCGTGTGTGTGTGTGTGTGTGTGTGTGTGTGTGTGTGTGTGTGTGTGTGTGAGTGTGTGTGTGAGTTTGTAGGTAAACTTGGCTCTAAACATGCTATAAATCATGGTTTGTTGGCTGTGTTCCATAGGGAGAGCAAGTCAGTATATACACACACACACACACACACACACACACACACACACACACACACACACACACACACACACACACACACACACACACACACACACACACACACACACACACACACACACACACACACACACACACACACAGTATTGTATTCACACAGCCAGTGACCAGTTTTGCAGTTTTAATTATAACAGATTGCCCCCCACGGATCTGTGTTCAAGATCAATCTCAGTGCCACACATTGTTTAAAAGCTGCCGATCAAAGTCCTTAATCGATCGCAGGGTTAGCCAATTGTGTGTCTCCACACATTTGTTCAAGAGAATTCTAGTCATCGAAAATCCATGAGAAAATGTGTGTGCAAAGTTGCATGCCATGGGCGTGTTTTTGTGTATGTGACGGTGTTTTCATGTTAGAATTGGGGTTTTAAATTGAGGTTATATACTGTATGGTCTCTGCCCCCCTAAACTTGATGAATTAAGGAATTTAGTTCTTTCCATTGTTATGATGCTCCTCTCTTTACAGTACATAGTTAGTGGCTTGAAGTTAAATAGTTATTATAAAGAGGTGGCTGGTCTTGATGATGATACAGCAATGGTTGTGCATTTGAATTCAGTTTTTTTTCTCCAACTCTCACTTTCTTGGTAGGTTACATCTCTTTAAGGCAAGATGGTGTCTGACATATGAAGAACAGAAATGAAATTATTTGCAGATTAAAATATTACTGCACAGAAAGAAAATAATGAAAATGATTGCACAGTTTAAAAACATGAAGGATTTTTTCAGAGGCCTCCCAACATGAACCCACATGTACTGTAGTTTTATTAATATAATCTTGTTTTCTATTCCGTATAAATGTTTGTTTCTGGATTATATTAAATCCACAAATTGTCAACTAAACATCATCATGAAAGCCAATCAGGAGTTTTTAACGTAATTGATCAAACACACATGTCTTGGATCTAGCCCCTGTCAGGATTTCTCACATTTCTAGATTGAATATAATTACTTTGGGCTGTTGAAAAAAACAAGACATTTACAGGTTTCACATTGGGCTCAGAGTTCACCATGAATTAAACACAGAGAAAACATGATGTCCTTACATTGACATTTTTCTTGCCATACATCTGAGAACTATTATGGCCCAGGAGGATACTGTCATCCTCCTGTCATCCTGCTCAATGCGGCTCAGACTAACTCTGACACACATTCTGCCTCAGCCACCTTTTCATTGTTCTCGTGAGGCAACAAAGCAGCGCTGTTGAATGCCTTTAGAGTGGTATTTCTCGGAAATACCGGCAGAGAGGCATTTTCTTCCCTTTTCAGGCAGCAGGCAAAGGTCTTAGAGCGACATAATGCCATCACCCAGCAGAGCCATTTCAGAAGAGACTGCCCCGAGCGGTACACGGACAGAAAGAAACAACCGTTCTCTGCCCTCAGCAAGACCTCTTGAGTTCTCCTCTGTGGCCATACTCGCTTATTTCTCTCTCTCTCTCTCTCTCTCTCTCTCTCTCTCTCTCTGTCTCTCTCTCTCCCTCTCTCTGTACCACCCACACACACACACACACACACACACACACACACACACACACACACACACACACACACACACACACACACACACACACACAGNATAATGGATTATTTATTCTATCAAAAAGTGCAATAAAGACCTATTATGTGCTGATCAAGAAACTAAAAGTAACATTGAACAAATATTTAAGGGGGCCAGATTATGCAGAGGTTCTGTTTTCATATTAATATTTGTGCCTCTACTGTGGCATGTTTGCATGCTTTAATGTTCAAAAAGCTCTTTATTTTTCTCATCCAGCCTGTGTTGCAGCACCTTTTCACCCTCTGTCTGAAACCAGAGCCCAGTCTGCTCTGATTGGTTAACTGCCGACTCTGTTGTGATTGGGCAACCACTTAGAGAGTCCCAGTCTTAACCTATCCATGTACATTGGTGGTTGGAGCCGCTAACCAATAGAAGAGCAAGTGTTACTTACTAGATGTCATTATGTAACAGAAGTAAACAAAGGATACCAATCGTGGGGTTCCAGGCAGGGGTGTGGGAGAGAAACTCCCTCAGGACGGAACACAGGGATTTTAGCCTTTGCAGACCATTTACATGCACAAACACCCTATATAACACACTACAGGAAAGGAGAAGCCCAAAATGAGAGTTATAACAAATAGAACTTTGTTAAAATGCAGCAGCAGGTAACTTAGATGGAGAAAAAAAAAGAGTTGTCCAATGTTTTATTGGATATTTAGTCCGTCTGAGTCTTCTAAAATATTTAATATGTTGACACGCATGTTTGAAGAGGATCAGAAGTGCTCATGAGAATCTGACTCATGTTGATGTTATTTGTTTTCCGGCTGGAGGAGAAAAGAAAACAAGTGTGCTGAAAAACACAAGATTTCTGATAGTTTCGAAACCCCTGGAAGCTGTTAAACGAAATCAATAGCTTATCTACTGGGAGAAGTACTGAACATTAATAAAGTATAATAATCAAAATAATTAAGTCAAAGTTCTCACACCATGATCAAGAACAGCATACGTTTTGATTCCTACATTATATTTGCATTTGAGTGGGTTTTAAAGCTGTGAGTGGTGGGAGGATGTCACAGGAATATTATTCATAGAAAGCAACTGTGAGTGTGTTGATCAGAGATTTAAAAACAAACAAAAAGAACGAGCATATCGTCCCTTTATGTCTGTGGAAGTTGCCGTGAAAAGGTAGCTTTTTATAGCTCCAAATGTCACTCCGAGCCTTCCAATGACTCCAACTGCTGTCACTGTGGCTCTGTGTCACAAGCAATCATCTGATCCCGGGTCAGAAGACAGGAGCATAATTTCACTGTCAACTGAATTATTTCAGCTCATCATGAAAGGCCCTAATGTGACCTTCACTCCCACACCTCTTTTTACATCACTGGTGGTGGAATATCTATCGGAAGGTAAAAGTGTTGATTTACTCAACAACCTAAACATGATGTGTTTCTGTTTTTGTTCTTTCACTTGAAATTGCTCAAGACGGGAGAACCAGCGAAATGCCTAAAATATGAATGTACATGTAAAATGTATGAGAGAAAAATGAGAGAGGGGAACTTAAGAAAAGACGGAGCAGGAAACAGAGCTGTAGCCACCATCTGTCCAGATTGGGTTAGGGTGTTCTGCTAAATCAACACAGATCTGATGAATGGAAGGGTAAAGGGGCATAAAGAAGCACATCCGGACACACAAACTGTAAATACTTACTCGACTCAATCTCAGCTTTCTCAGCCTTGGATTGACCTACATAGGGTATTTACCCTGGGATCAGTGCCACATTGTAAACAGAGCCCATGGAAATAATCCAGAAGAGAGCTTTTTCAGATTCTTTCGGGATGTTGGACAAAAAATTAACATGAGGAAGAATATGGATACATGGCAAGCCTCCAACAACAGCCAATAAACACCTGAATGACAGGATAGTCCTTGCAATTGAGTCTCCTCTGCCTCCTTCTGTGTCTGCTTCTCCTCTTTACTCCTTCCTTTGCTTACCTCTCCTCCTCTTGTCTGCCCTTCAGGAGTGACATACTGCATCAGTTTTGCTGCCCCGCCCCTGAACATCCAGAGGGGGACACCAGCGGCTCATCCGGGTAAGATCGAGTCAGACACAAATCACAGACTATTTTATCTTTATTTATTTTTTGTTGCATTTTTTTGCTCCTACTGAGCGTTCTTTCAACCATTGAAAACTTCCTGTCCCTATGAATACACACTGTATGAAACTTTTTTTGTCATCTATCTGAGTCATGTTCACATACCCAGGCTTTTAATCACGTTTGTTAGTGTGTGCGCTGTATGCAAGTTTGAATTGGAATATCTTTGGATATGTGGAGCCTGCAGTAACAATGACAGAGTTAAACGCTCCCTAACAATCCTATAGATCAGGGGGGTCAAACTCAAATACACAGTGGGCCAAAATTAAAAAATCGGTACTAGTCGAGGGCCGGACTGGTTCAATGTTATTGGAAAACTTATTGAAATGAACTTATTGCACATATTAAACCTGGAACTAACAAAGCTTAAATTATTGCCTATAAAAACAACTCTTATGATTACATTGTCCCACAGGCCAACAACAGCTTCAAAAAACTATTTCCCTCAAAGAAAAAAACAAACATGCCCTGTTGTCACAAGAAAAAAAGTGCAGAAGGAAACATCCATGTAAACTCAGTGTGCTGCTCTGTGATGCTAGTTCAAGCCAGATACTTGGCATCTCATCTTGGGTGCAAGTTCATCAATGTTTGGG